TAATATTTTAGTCACACAAAATCCACTGAAGATCACCTGACTAAATGCTAAATCTCAATTGGATAAAAGAAATAATAGATACAAATTTAGAACCAAAGTTACGGATATGATTATTCGACTTTGACAAATTAAAATTTTATAATTTTTAGATCATCAGAACTATCAAATCTTAAGGATCATAACAATATGTGTTTGATTCAAATCGGACTACTAGATAGTGAGATAATTGAAGAAATGTTATTTTTATTTCTTTATTTTATTATATATAATTATTGGATTTATAAATTAATGGATAAAGTTTTTTTTAATTAGTTTAGTATTAGTAATTATAGATAAGGTTTCCACTAAGCTTAAGTAAAAAAGTGAGAGCTTTGGGTTGCTACTGATCCCGATAAAAAGTGAGAGTTATTGTTAAGCCTATAGATAAAAGCATACGAGATATTAGAAGTTTTAAAAAAGGTTTATCACTTAGCCTATGAATAAAGTGAAAGGTTATGTTTAAGATTCTTCAAATGGTAAGATAGTCTGCCAAAGGATCCATGTAAATAGATTTGTAAATAGATTTAATTAATTAACTAAAAGTTAGCTAATAGACTAATTGAGTATCTATAGTTAACTATATAAATATTTTTGGACTTTTGAAAATTTTAAGAAGATTTTTGATCACGTGACATCAGAAAAAGATTATAAGAGTGAAAGCAAAAGTGTCAACAGAGTGATTGGCAGCTCTTGAAATAATATTAGACAATTTAAAAAGCAAAATGCAACAATGTGCAAAATTTTATTGAATAATCTGAGAAATACAAATTTGAGATACATGAAAATCAGAAATATAGAAAAGATACAACAAGAAAAGACTATTCTAAAAATAAATAATAATGATAAACTCAAAGAAAACTAGATAATAGAAAAAAAGGAAAGGGAGCATAGATTACATATTAGTAAAAACATATGACAAGTATAAATATATACTAGACAAAACGTATGATATCCCTTTCCATTAATATTAGTAATCATTAAATATTATGAACAAAGAAAAAGCATGAAGTAAATTGATTAATCAACTTGACAATTCTATTTTCTGGATGATTCACTTCTTGAAGAATGAGTAACATTTCTATATATTTTTTCAAGTAAACGAATCCTACTTTTTTGATAAACCAAAAGGAAAGAAATATTAGTTAGTTCATTTTTTAAACGTTTATATTCAGCAGAAAGTTCAGCATTTTAATTTAAAGAAATTGATAATTGTTCTCTTAATGTGAAGTTTTCTTGACAAATTTCTCAAACTTCTTGACAAAATCCTGTAGCCTGAATAGAGGAAGAACGCACATTAGAAATGTAAAATTGGGTATCTTTAACCAGTGAGTATTAGTTCATGCAAAGGTTAGCTTAATGAACCTAACGATGTTCCAAATTATTACATATCATATAGGACAATAAAGGCTGTAATAACCAGTTCTAAGCAAGGAAAACTCACGTTTTGAGAACCTATATTATAGTATAAGAAAGAAGGCAAAATGTTAATATGCTACAGTCATATTAAATGAGGTTAAATATACTGTCACACTTCTCAGATGAGAGATAAGTTGCATATATCAGTCTATTAGGACAAGCTTATAAGAGATGCGTTTCATATAGTCTCAATCATCGTATTTGGTCATATTCTTAATTACACCCGTCTTACCTTAGGAAACTCTCTTACTATAATAATTTCTTTGATGAACTAAAGCTCTACAATGAGTGAAAGCAGAATTTTTCTTGTTTATTCGAACTATAATGAAGTTAAAAATATTTTAAGAAATTTAAAATTTTGCAATAATTTTAGAAAGAAAGTGAAAAATTTGTGGAAAATAAGAAGAATTCTTAAACAAATATTTATACTTGAAAGAAGTAATTATGGAAAAAAAAAAATTTCTAAAATTCTTAAGATCGTGAGAATTATTTTCTTGTAGAAAAATAAACAAAAATCCATTAGGTCGCATTGGATGATGATCATCACATGGAAATCTATAGAATAAAAACCTGTTTAAAATTGGCGTAGTTGATCAACATTACTAAATTGGATGATCACGTAATATTTGCATAGTATATTTTTGATCAACATTTCTTTATTTAGTACAAAATTCAGAAAATTTTTATAAGCTGCATAATTTTAAGAGTTTAACAAAATGCATGCATGAGAATCAAGAAATATGAGAATGATAGCTTTTCTGAAAAAAAAATTACTTGTAATATTTATGTAGTTTATATATTAAGAAAAGTTAAATGACATAATCAGTTGATCAACAGTTAATTTTAGATTTATGTTTAACAATTTTCTTATGATATATTTCTTAAATATTAGATTCCAATGAACTTTCTTGATATAGAAAAAGATTAAGCATATCATGGATGAAAATCAGATCAATGTATCAAGCTACTAAGTATTATTTTATTTACAAAATAATCAACAAAATATACAACCCAGCCACAACTACTAGCCCAACTTGGCGAACTACCAATGAAAAAAAATTCCAAGAAAAAGATCAAGTAAAAATAAAAATTTCAACAACCACCCAGATCATCCAACTAAAGTTAACACTCAACCTTTCTATAAGTCTATGTAAAATAACCACTGCTCTAAAAATGCCTCTTTTTGACAAAAGTTTTTAGCTTCCAACATATTTATTCTTTGTCACAACGGTTCTTTACAAGTATTTTGATCTGCTATGAGATATGCTAGTCTGTTAGCCATAAGCAGCCTTTTCCTTCTTCTTTTTACACTTGAGTTTGCAAGGTTGCAAACTGTTTGTGAACTTTATTTCTTTATTACGAATGGAAAATTTTCATACGTTCGACTTTCTTTTAAACATCATTTTGTAAACGATTATTAGAAGGCATTATTCTTTTTTTTTAGTAGAATTTTATTGAAAGAAATTTTAGACTTTAAGTAATTTAATCAGTAAACATAAAGCTATATTTAAGAAAAATAATTTATCACATGACCTCAATTAGAAAATCATTCAAAATTGAACTATTTATATAGAATTTTAAGTCTTATAAGTCTGGAAGTTAACAAATTTTAGCCCTATGAAATATTAGAAAAACCTATATTTGTAAGGTCAATAGTGAATAGCATGAATACAGTATGCTTCCCTTTAATAGGTTGCATGTGAATACAGCGTGTATTCTGCAAATTCTTTTTGCAAATTTCTAGAAATCCAGAACTTGATTTCGAGGATGAAATTATTTCTCACTACGATATTTGAAATTCAAGTAGGAGAAGGATTATCAACGGAGCAATTGACCAATCATAATGAAGTCATGTGGATGACGCAGTATGATGATCTCATAATTCAGAATTCTGAAAATACAAAAAATCTATGTAATTTTAAAGATCTTCTAAATACTGATGATAATCCTAATTTTATAAATTAAATGAAGTCTAAGAATATTTAGTGTAATACTTATTTTTAATATTCTAAATTTTATTGTTATTTTTATTATATTTTATATTTTACGTATTTTTATTATTTTTAATATATTTATTTTACTTATATTTTATTTTACTAAATTAGTTAGTTTATAGCATAGTAATTAGTTAGCTATTACAAAATAAATTTTGTATAAATAGATAGACTTTTGTTTATGTTGTAAATTAACTCTTTTGCAGATTTATAAACTCTTTTGCAAGTATAAGTTTTAATATTAATAAAGAAATCATTTAAAACTTATATCTTTCTGCCTCTTCATGTCTTCATATAGTCTGACGTGATCCTTACACATTATTTGTAATTGAGTTCGTCATCTGAATTCTTTAATTAAAATTATTTATAATTTTGTCTTTCAAGTCTTCATACTTGATAGATTTTGTTTAAGTCTAACGCGTAAATTTGGTAAAATTAAGAATTAGGCAGATTCTAACGTTTTAACTGCAGTAGATCGCAGTTAGAAATTTTGAGTAGAGACTTGATAACGTGACTACCCTAAGTTGAAGAATTTTACAGTAACAATGTGAATATAAGAAATATTTCATTTATTAGAAAATTTTACTTGATCATCAAAATTAGGCAAATATAATCCCATATGTAATATTAATTGATCTTGAACCTTATTAATAGTTATAACAAAGGTCAAACAAATTGGAAACTAGTAACAAATTAATTAAAATAGTAAATCTATTTCTGATAGGTTAATCTAATTCAAGAAATAAATATTCTTTTGTATTATGAGTACCTGTTAAGATTTGTGCATCTATCATATGTCATTAAAATCCTTTAACAATCAATCTGGTACTATTGCAGAGTTCTTTTTTTGGATTAATATTTCTTAAGAGTATGATAGGAACTCTAACTTTAAGTATTAATATATTTAAGAATTCTATAGAATAAAGATTTTGATAAACTAATTCTTTTTCATTAACAGAATCTGCTTAATAGAATACTTAAGATTTTCTAGGAAAAATGTTGATAATTTGCTCATTTATATTATTAACGTCATCATTTTTTACTGTAAGAATTGCTCAATTTTTAATATAATTGATATAATTTGCATAATCATTAAAGTTATCATTAATATTATAAAAAATCTCTGATATTAATGATTTAATTTTCTCATTATTAAAGATCATATTATCTTATAATTTGATGATATCTTCACCAAATTTAGGATATAACAACTTTTTCCTTCACTAATTTGTAATAAATAATCTACAAATTGTTTTTGCTCATCATCTTATGATTGTTAAATTCTTATATTAATAGTTAAATGTTTAATATTAACATATTTTTATAAATCTGTATGCTTAATGCAAGCATTTATAATTTATTTACATTTTTCTTAAATTACTACAGGTAAGATTTGTCTAAAATCTTCACCTAAGACAATAATTATACCTTCAAATAGTTTTTCAATATTGGTTACATCCTTAAAGATTTTGTTAAAAGCTTTAAAGGCAAATCTATATACTATTAGTGCTTCATCTCAGATAATAAGTTTTGTCATTCAAATTAATTCAGCTAATTCAGATGTAATACTATATCTAAAGTAGATATTTCTGTTAATTTGATGAGAATCTTGAATCTTGAATAGGCTGTTCTTTCACTATCTAACAATAAAGCTGCAATTCCTGATGAAGGAGCTGCAATGGCTGTTTGATTATTTGCTATTATTTTTACCAAAATCATATTGAATAAAAAGATCTTTCTATAACCTCCAGGACCATCAACAAAAAATACTATTTCATCTATTTCTTTATTAAAAGCTTGAATAATTGTGTTATAAATGTTTTTTTAATTAACATTTAAATCATTTTCATTGTTTAAGAGAGCATTTAATTTATCAGAATTATAATTAAATTCTTTTATTATTTAAATCTGATCTTGTAAATTCTCTATTATTTTCAAGTAAAGAATAATTTAAAGGAAGAATACCATATTCAGTTAAACATCTTTCATAAGATAATAAATATTTTTCAATATCTATTAATGTTTTGTGATTATAATTGCATAATCTTTATTAGATAAATCTTCAGTATCTTATCATTGTTGTTCATTCAAATAATCTTCAAATAAAATTATTTAAGTGATCTTTTAAAAGTTGAGAAGCATTTAACTCTCTTATATCATTAAATATTAATATATAGGTAAATAGTTGTCTTAGTTTTAATAGCATTTGATATGTTGCAACCTCGATAAGACATTTATTAAATTTATTATTTTCTTCATCTAATAATCTAAGCTGTCTCACTGCTTCCTCAAATATATTATAAACATTTCTATTTATAGTATGTACAGCTTCATAGGATATAGCACCATGAATTTGTAATAATAAAATTCTTAAATAAAATCTTTCTTTGTCTCTTAGACTACAAGTATATATTTGTAAAATTATTTTATCGCCATCTCTTTTTTTTATTACTAATTTCCATTTTTTCAGATAAAGTATTTTAGAAAATCAATATAACGCAAATTATTTATGTTTAAATCATCTTGATTATATGCGTACATTTTAAAATAATGGGTTAATTTTGTATGTGAGAATTTTTCTAAAATATTAAAAAGATCTTTATTTTCTTAAAAGATAACATTATATTGATTGGTAAATAAACTGAAAGTTATTTAATTTTATGTGATCTTTCTTGTAAACCAAAATTAAATAATCTTCAGGATGCTTCAATGGCAAAAACATATCTTATATTTAAATGTTAAGTAATTTTATTATTTATGATGGATCCTATTATATGATCAGGTTCTTTGTAAACATATTTGTAAAAACTTCACAGAATGAATACTTGAACAAATCTTTACGTTAATATGACAGTTATATTTTTGATAAAGATAAGGATAATAAGGTACAATCCATTTATTATCAATATTAAATTTTCCTTTTTTGATTGTTTTTTCATTGTCTCTTCTTCTGTATATTGAATATTCATACTTGTTTGTTGTTATTTTTCAGCAAAATCTCTATAATAATTTTTGTTATATTTGCCATTTATCATGTAAGGAGATTCAGGATTCAAGTCTCTGCAAGATCTATAAAGCATATTCTGGTAACTGTATTATATAATAATAGTTGAAGATCTTTATCTGGAATCTCTGTACATACTATCTTAACAAAATCTTTAGGTGATTTTAGTTTATCTTCAGCTGGTAAGATCATTAAAATATGCACATGTAGTAATACTCTTTTTTTGGAATTCAATTACATATACATGAGCAATAACTTTCTCAAGTACACCTTTTATAAAAAGATCATGGGTGACTTCTTTTAATTTTAATTTAAACACTTTTGTAACAATATTAGGTTAATCACTTGCTTGTTGATTTAGTAAGAGTTCAGCTTTAATTTCTGACAAATTGGGATTGTAAGTAATAGTGACAAATAAATCAGGTTTTTTATATTCTCTAACAATTGCCATAGAATTTTGATACATTTGTTGCATATATTTGGTTGATCTAATAAATGAAGATGAAAAAATTATTTTTTTTTCAATCTTTTCTTTGTAAAAATTTTTATTAGTGACAATAACATGTAAATTTGAATATAATTAATTCACTTCTGTAATGTTATTGCATTTTTCTATGCCATCTCAAACGATTTGTTTCATCTTTGGCATATTAATCTATTAAATATTGATGAAATAATCTTCCAACAAGATGTAATGTACTTTTTTGTTTTATTTGAATTTCTAATTTGCATTCAGATGCTGCAAATTCTCTAATTGTCACCCATTTTTTTTTCTTTTTATTTGAATGATTTTCCAATTTTTCATCATCTATAGGTTCAATTTCCTCATCATTATTATTTACAGGTTTAATTTTCTCATTATTATTTTCATCATCAAGAGTAATAGGATTAACTTTATTTTCTTCTTTATCAGGTATATACACTCTTTCTTTGCTCTTATCTTTAGTTGAGACAGATTCTAAATCAAGATTTCAAAATTTTGTATAATTTCTTCTTCAATGTGCATTCTATTTTTAATTTCAAATTCAGATTTAGATATAGATTCAATATCATTTGCTCTTAAAATTTTGTCATGCCATTCATATTTACCATAAGAAAGTAGCAAAGGATATTGTAATGGATCATAAGCATTATTTAATTCAGAAATATGTTTAATTGTCTTTTATGAGTTTAAATAACAATATCTTAATATTTAGGTTAAATGTCATAGTCACAGAGAAGGACTACAACTTATGATGCTGTTGGTTTATTATATTGTCTTATATTCTTGCCATATGTATTATGAATGACTATTTTCTATTGTGAATTATTAAATTCACTTTTAACTTTAACTCCTAAGATTACAAATTACTCAAAAATGGATTGTTTTCTAATAATTCATCTTGTAATATTTTGAGAATTTCAGCATTCAACTTTGGAAATATTTCTTATCTTCTTTAAAGTTGATTATCAATATTAAAATTATAAAAGTAATCTGAGCAAATGTTGGTTTTTGATCATCATCTCTTAGCAATCTGATGATATAATTTACCTTGAATTCTAAATGTATAAATCCCCTTTTTGGCATTTGCAAGTTCTTTGTTAAGTTTTATGCCTAAAAATGTAAATGTAAAAACTTGATTTTAAGCTCTAATTTGAGTTACATAAGATTCATCTGATTCTGAATTATTTTGTGTGAGTAAATTATACAAAATTTGTAAAGCTGAAAGGAGAGGTGCTAATACAACCTATTCATTTAAATAACAGAATCCTTTTATCTTATTTTCCACTTTAATTATAACAGTATTCACAAATATTATCCATTTCTTCAAAGATGTATCTACTATTTTCTACATACTTCTTCTGTATAATTATCTATATTGCAATGCCCTATCTTTAAGAATTTGGCTACTAATTTTTCTTTTTTGTAATATATTTCTTATTATCATAAATCTTTTTTTCATTTTTTTTGTTCTGTTTCTTAATCTTGCATTTTCAGTTGTTTCAGATCTTATTTTGCTTGATGATTCAGCTTTTACACTTTCTTCTTTTGCTTATTAATCAAGAAATCTTTTTCTAACTTATTTAATATTGTTTTGCCTTTTTTTCATTCTTTTTCAGTTGCATTTTCACATTCTGAATATTTAGCTTCAATTTCTTCTAATGTTATAAATTTTGACATCTTATTTGTAAATAAATTTATAAATTTTAATAAATAAAAGTTTTGGTAAAGATCAAATTTTAAAAAATTAAAATGATTTTATTTATTTATTTTTTTATTTTTTTTAATAATTACTAAAAAAAAAAAGAATTCAAATATGATTTTTTATTGTATACATGCAGTATGCAAATAATTGTTATTATACTATTTTCTTGATATTTATTTATGATATATCCTTTATTAAGTTATAAATTAAATGATATTTGGTATTTTTAGTATTATTACATTTATAAAATGTTTAATTGTTTGTTTTTAATGGTTTTATTTTTTTTATTATTATAATATTTTTTACTTACACTGATTTTTTTAATTTCTTTTTTTATATTTCACGATCTTCTTAATTTTTTAATTTTAATTTTTTTTATTATATTTTATTTCCTTCTTCCCACTCCCTGATCTTTTTAATTTTTTTTTTTTTCTTTTTAATTTTTAGATTTCATATAATTATTCATTTGCCTCCTGTTATTATTTTTTTTTATATTTTATTTTCCCTTCATTATCTTTTCTTTATATATATTTTTATTCTTACCCCCCCCTGTTATAGTTTTTTTTAGTTTTATATTTTTTTATATTTTTTTTTTATTTTTATTCAAATCTATTTTATTTTTTTTGTTTTTCTAATTTAGTTATTTTTTTTTTTGTCTATATTTTTTTTATTTAGTTTTTATATTTTATTCGTTTCCCTTTCCCCTGTTATTATTTTTTTACTTTCTATTTTTTTTTTTTTCTATTTCGTTTTTATATATTAAATATTTTTTTTATTTTTATTCGTCTATATTTTTTTTTGTTTTTCTATTTAGTTTTATATATATACTGGCAATTCTACCTAGTATTCTGAAAGGGTTGAATCGGGTTGGATTTAAAGATATACTCAGACTCGACCCATTTATAAAAACCAATCCGTACAAATACCTGGGTTAATATTTATAAAACCCGACCCTGACCTGACCTGTTATAGTTTGACCCCCAGATAACCCAGGTCAAATAAAATTTTTAACAAATTTATTTATAATCAGCAAGACAATAGTATATGTATATCGCTCAACTTTTACAAAAAAAGATTCTAATTAAGATTTATTTAAATTTTTATGATAAAATTATAAAATATATTCTAATTAAATCCTCTTTATTCCCACCATGACTTCAAACACATACAGACGCGAATTGTATTTTTTTTTGAGATTGCTTCTTTTTGCTGTTATCAAATCGGTTCCACTGGAAAAGATCCATTTTACTGGAACACTTGTAGCTAAATTAAAAATCATTTATTAACTAATATTTAGTAATATTAAAATGAATAAATTTTTTTACTTGCAATTGCAAGATAATCTCTTGCATTGCTGCTAGGTGTGAATACTCTACTTCATTTAACTATATATGTTTATTAATGAATTAGTAAAATTAAATCAAATGAAATATATTAATTATTTTTAAATATATACCTTCCACCACAATAAAACATCTGATTTTGATCTGCTCGAGGATTTTTTAAATACATTTCTACTTTATTTTATTAATGATTGTTCTTTTTACCAAAAATGTGATTTAAGAATTCATCATCATCATTATTATCAGCAACTTCTACATTAATATTACCAGATACATAATTAGTATTATAAACATTAAGAACTGTTTCTTTTGCATATTGAATAAAATTTTATTTTCACTTATTGTTTTCATAGTAACCCAACTTAAATTGTAGATCAAGCACTATAAAATTATCTATATTATTATTCAGTTTATAAAAAAATTTTACTATTTTATATTTCTTACCAGTAGTAATTGTATACATAGTAGTTTTATCAGATTTTTCATAATATAACTCAAGTTTCTTTAATTCTACTTTAATAGTAATTACTATATCATTATAACTATCTAAATTTTCACAATATGCTTCAAGTCCATCTATTAAATAATTATATATTGGTATGGAAGAAAAAAGCATAGGATATTTTGCAGATAAAAGTATTTTAGTAGTAATATAAAATAAAATTTTTTTAATTAATTATAAGGATTAAATTTATCAAAAAACTTATTTTTATTTGTCAACTTTC